AGAGACGGGGTTTCACCATGTTGACCAGGATGGTCTCGATCTCTTGACCTCGTGATCCACCCGCCTCGGCCTCCCAAAGTGCTGGGATTACAGGCTTGAGCCACCGCGCCCGGCCGAAATTTGCATTTTTTAAAAGATATGAAATATAAGTAATATTATTATGTATTCATAGGACTCAATGGAATGTTTTTACACAGAAAGCTGTCAAACGTCTATGAAAACCACATAATTAATTTTAAAGTATTAAATTAGTTACCTGCCTAATATTGTGTTATTTTCTGTGAGTAGGAGAAAAAGATATATTCAATAAGAGCTTTGGAAACACATAAAAGAGGTGCAGAAAACATTAATTCTGGGGAAGACAGATGGCTGGGTCAGTTCAGATTTTCAATTATTTTAATAAATATTTTTCATTATCTTCTAAATGTATTAGTGACTGCTAAGGCTGTTATCCAATATTTAAAATGTCTCATTTACTGTTTCGTATTTTACATGGGCAAGATTTAAATAAAGCAGCCTGCACATTTTTCATTGCCAAAATATCTCAAGGTTAAAAACAGATGTTGTACTTTTTCTGCCAAAAATTTGAATGTGTTCATCATACCAAAGCTTAAAATTAATATATAAATAAAGTAATAAGGCAAACAGAAAGCTGATATCAATAATTTTATATTCGATGCATAATCTGCAAAATAATGTTTCTGTGTATCTTCTACAGAGAGAATGAAAAACTTTAACACATATAAATTAAATTTTAAAACAAAGATTTTTTTCCCTCTAAAGGTGGACTTACTGAATCATTCCGACCAAAAAAGGTATATATTGCATACAAGTAATAATCAAATAGTTGAGACATGAAATGAATAACATCAAAGGCAATTGGCTTAAGAATGTTCATCATCTGCATATATTTCCCTGAAAAGAAAAAAGAATCAAAAATTAAGTAAAACAAAATTAAAATATGTTAGTCTATAATTTAAAAAAGACAGTAAAATTACTAAAATGTTTTAATATAATGAAATATTGCACTCCTTCACACTAGCCAAGTCTCACGTACTCAGTAGTCACATGTCGCTAATGGCTACTGTATTGGACAGCATAGATAATGAACAGTTCTATCATCTTTGAAAGTTATATTAGAGAGTACTAACATAAATAATACAATAATATTTTCCTCTTACTACACTTTCCTGTTTCCCAAATTTTTATGGAACTCTTATACCCTTCTACAAATGACACTGTACAAACAAACAACACCAGTTCTCTTTTCTAGGAGTTTCCATTTCAAATAATTTCTTGGAAAATGTGTAAGTTTAATAGAGTAAAATACAATATATTTAAGAAAATATTTATTTTTCATAAGTTTATACACACATAGCACAAGCAGAAAAGCAAGAGGAGAAATGATACATGCAAGGGACTGCCCATTCCCCTGAATCGTAGCCCTGTGAAATCTTGTGTCAGAGGCCAAGAACATTTCTTTATTACTGTATCATTCAAAAGCTCAATATCCACAAAATGCAAAAAACATATCTTTCTCATTCCTTTTTTTGGAAGATGCCAGTATTTCATTCCTTTTCCTCTACATATACAATCAGATATAGTCACAGAAAAAAAAAAAAAAACCATAAATCAAACTTCTGCATTTACAAACTTGCTAACGTATTTGAAGGATTCGTTAGAGATGAGATGAATCAAATAACTACAAGTCCACAATTCTGTTTCTTTTATATGGGAAACAATAGGAAAAGAAGCATATCTAGTAAAAATGCTCTATACCTTCTTCTGCAGAGGATCTTAAAACAGGCCATGTGCTTAGTTTCCAAATAAGCCAATAATTCAGGTGCTGTCTCTACTTCACATAACTGCTATAATTTTAAATTGGTACTATTAAAGACACCATGACTCAAGAGAAAACACATTTACTGCAGTACAAGAAATGACGAATGTACTCTAATGGAAATGTCTACTATCAAAATCATTTCTTTAAGAACTCAGTACATCTTTCTTAATCTATGTGGGAAATGATTTTAAATAACAGTCAGATGGTCAAGAAGAGAAACACAAACACAAATACACATCAAAACAAAGTAAAAACCACTCAACTCAGATTTTATTCTTATTCCTATTTAAAAATTCTTCTGTTTCAGAATCATCCTTTGCAATTATTTCACACAGTCAGACATATTTTTGAAAAATCCCATTTGAAAAATATTTGAAATATACTGCTCCTAAAACACTCTGGATCCTTATGCAGATTATTTTCTCAGTTACAAAACAAGCTCCAGCTTGTTAACATATAAAATAATGCAACACTGTGAAGAAAAAATATTACATTACTCAGTTTAAAAAAAAGAAAAACAGAGATAAATAAGTAGAATGAGGTAGAATGCAAATAAGTAGGCTGACATGCATCTAGAATACAAGGTCCTCTCCATTCCCCACAATATTAACCACTGTTTAAATACCTAATATTGAGAAAGGATGTAAAAATGAATTATTCATAGGTAAAGACTCTTTTAAATGTGTATTCAGAAGAAAAAAATACCTGTTCCTTACCACTTTGAAAAGAAAATTAAAACATAAGGATATTAATTTATTCATTCAACAAACACTTTTTGAAGCCTCACTATATACTTTTGCCTTATATTAAGGAACGAGGAATTACATAGAATCCCAGCTGTTGCACCTTAAAAGGCCATACATAGAAGACAATAATCAATAAGCAGACTATCAGTATATTATAGAGTGAAGAGTGAGGACCCTGTCTTTCCAGTTCAAGAGAACAGAACAGGCAGACAGTAGACATTTGGAGGCTTGAGGAGGCATATACGCCTCTGCAGATCTGACTGAATTAAAAGAGAACCTTACAATGAATTAATTCCTTATCTATGAAAAGAAGAGGGTGAGAAGGCAAAGCTGGTAGGTTTGAGCCCAAGAAAATAAAAAATGTCAAAACATTTCTAGACTAGAGGTTGGTAAACTTTTCCCGTAAAGGAAGAGTCGATAGTTTAGGCTTTGCATATCACACAGTCTCTGTGGCAACTATTCAGCTCTGCTGTCTTCTGTTTCAACTGCTCAGCTATGCCACTGTAGCACAACAGCAGCTACAGACAGACAATATTCAAACAAATGAGCATGGGTGTGCCAATAAAACTTTATTTACAAAAACAGGCAGCCGGCAGCTCAAAACATCTGACATCTCTAGATGACAGACAGTAGATGGGAACAGGTTGATGGAAAAACAAAGAAGCCAATAAAACCATAAGAAGGGCATAAAGGAGGTAGAAGCTATTCAGTAGGACAATAACTACTTAGAATCAAGTTGGAACAGCAGGAGTGAGAAACAGGACTGAAAAAGGATCCAACTATAAGTTCACATATGGGATAAACTGTACCACTATTCCTCTCTCCTCTCCAGCAATTAGAGGTGTAGGATGCTAGAATTTACCCACAAAACAAAACAGAAAACTGAGGATTCCTCTCCAACAGAAATGATAAACAAACTAAAAAAAAAAAAAAAAAAAAAAAAAAAAAAAAAAAAAAAAAAAAAAAAAAAAAAAAAAAAAAAAAAAAAAAAAAAAAAAAAAAGATGGGGGGGCAAATGAACTTAAAAAAAATAATAAATTGAAAAGCTAAGGCTTCTACCTCATTCTGGGATTTGGAGTATCTGTCCCCATAAAGGCTGCCAGTAAATCCACCCAAGTCTTTTCCTATTTTCACACAAAGTTCGCAGTCAGAATTTCTACTGAAGAGAAAGAGCCAGCTTGAACATAGTCCTAATTACTCCCAAGAAACCCACAATGGCTATGTAAGCCTTCTATTTTAAATCTAAATAGATAATCAAAAATACTAGGCACACAAAGAAAACTCAGAGTTTGAAAATAAAAAGGAAAGTTGATACCAAAGGAAATAGAATAATTCAAGCTAAAAAAGAGAAATATAATTATGTAGAACTCAGTAAAAAAAAAAAAGAATATGCAAAAAAGTTTAAAGTTAAATTAAGTCTCTTAAAAGGTATGACAAAAGACAATGCTATGGGAAACATCTGAGAAAATAAAGGACCAATTTGAGTAATGGAGGAAATTGTTTTAAAAAGAAAGAACAGAGAAAATAGAGGTAAAAATTATCAAAGAAATACTAGTGTCAGTAATAGCTGAGGAAAACAGGCGCTTTCAGACCAAAAGAGTCCACAAACTATCAAACACACTTAGAGAAAAAGAAATCAGGCACATCAACATAAAATTCTGGATCAAGAAAAAAACATAAAAAGCTTTCAAAGGCAGAGAGAGAAATTCATCTGAGACAGAAGAAAATGCTAGAAGTTCCAGTTCTATACAAAATAATTTTTAATTTACAACTCTGTTCACAGCTAAATTGTCATTCAAGTTAAAGAGCAAAAAAAAATAAATAAAAAATAAAACATTTTCAGACTGACATGAATTCAAAACGTTTATTTCTCATCAGCCTTTTCTAGGAAATAACTAGAAGACAAACTGAAACAGACCAAGAAATTGCCTCCACACTGCTGGCAGTGCTTTCATCACAAGCGCTTCCTTACTGTTGAATGTGTTGCTGTGAGATGTACTACCTTGATAAAAACTTGAATGCATGGTTCTGAAGTGAGCCTGCCTAGTTTAAAAAATGTTATTAGTGGTTCAAGATGTAGTTCAGATGCACTCTATCCTTTACTCCCCCCTTTCAGAGTTCCTCACAGAGAGGGCAGAGTGAGAAGCAGACACAGCAGGCCTTGAAACACTGAAGAAGAAAGTTATCTAATGCAGAATGGATGCCCAGGAAAGGCATCTCTTCCCAAATTACCAATTTTAAGAGTTTACTGTTCCTGCCTCCAAGCTATGTTATATTATTTCTGATCTGTGACTAATTAACTTTGTTTAGGAATGAGAGTTAATGTTCCTGATTTCTTCCACTTGCTGTGAAGCAGGAATGTTAAGAGCCTACTGGCTCCAGGGTAAGACAGCCTGGGTTTTACCACTTATCAGATGTGTTACAATTTATCTCTCTGAGCTTCAGTTACTTGGTATGTAAAATGGATATTGTGAAGAATTCATAAGACAATGCATGTGAAGTCTTAACAAAGCATATGATATGTGTTTACCTAGCATCCGATATACACCTAGAAAATCTTAGCCATTGCTAATAGTTATTAGCTATTGCTAATAATTAAGATAATTATGATTATGAATGCAATAGGAAGAGGTATAGGATGTTACATAAAGGGAACCTAACCTAATCTGGAGATGAGGACAAGTTTCACAGGGCAAGTACTGTTTTAAAGTCTCTAATCCCAAATCTAAACCACAGGGAAGAGACACACAGGGGGACTGGCAAAGAAACCAACCAAGTAGCAGAATGGACAAGAACTAGAAACAAGAGAATGAGCAGTGGTCCTGCCTTAGCCAACTCATCAGTGGGAGACACAGAGCGAAGTGTGGTTAAGACAAGAAGGATGGCCCAGAGGGATTCACAGTTTCAACAGTTAGCCAAGCCACACCTTCTGTGTAGAGGAAGGAATACACAAGTGCTGGAAACGTGGGGGAAAAATTTTTCCCATTATGGATATGACAAAAGAGAAAATGAGTGTCTCCCATATTGAAGAGTTTAAAAATTAAGGTTTGTCAGTTCAACATCTATTGGCTTCCTACAAAAAAGTGAAAAGGACTTGGCCAGGTGCCACATATAGATGCTACAAAAATGATTTAAGACTCTTTTCTCATCTGTAGGAGTTTATAATCTCATGGGACACAAGGAGGAATAGATTCTGAGTTGGAAGCATATTCATTATTCTTATTTTAGTACACTAATTCAAGAAATCATCAATGAATATAAATAGCATATAAAGCCATAACAGTATATAAGATAAACTAGAAAAGCTATATATGAGGCATAAAGGA